GAAAGAACTGCTTCTTTTGTCTCCCTTTTCTGGAAACATGGAAGTCAGCTGCAATTGCCATGTGACATTTATCTTTTGTGAGCCTGCTATATGGGAACAGTAGGGATACAGAGATAAAAAACAAAGTCCCTACCTTTAAGAAGCTCCTAATCTAATATGGTACACAGAGAAGTAAAACAAATTATAACTGGAGTGAACCACAGATTTGCAGTCTATTGCAAAATGAAAATGTGGAGCCTCTTGTTAAAAAAAATCAGGAAAAAAAGTACCATTAGCAGTGCAAAAATTTTAAACTTTTTTTCTTCCAAAAGCTCTCTTGATTTGGCATACTATTTTTTAAAGTGATGTTTAATATCATTCTAAGTAAAGGAAAATTAGAAATTTAAATTGTTAGCATAAATTTTGTTATCCATCTTTATATGGTGCAGTACCAGCTTTAAAAAATCCAAATATGAAAGCATTTGACTCACAGGCAGAATCACTGAAATTGCATAATTGTAGTATCTTGTTTTTACCGGGACAGTAGAAACGTTGCACAAAACTAACTCAACTATTTTCATTTCACTTCTTGATATGCATGCATTCTACCAGCACTTGCCACCTATAGGCTACTAATGAATAAGGAAGGACTAGAATTAAAGTGACTATGATTACTCTATCTTTCCCTTTTTTGTGTGTTATAATTTTCCATGTAAGGGTTTGGCTAACATGGGGAAATAATAAGAATAGGAAAGGATGTTAGGGTTCGTTGCTCATTTTTAGAACATTACTGTTCTTTAAGAACATTACTGTCTTCTTCTTGTGTTCCAAGCAAGCTCCAGTTGGAATAGAGAGCATGTTCTTTGGGGTTGTAAATGTTGCTTCCTACTTAGCAGTAGATGTAACATGCTTATCCTGTACTTGTTTTCAATTTTCTGGAAATCTCATGCATTGTGGGTCTACTGGAATTCTGTGATCTTGGGGCATTGCAACTGTTTTATGTGAAGGGGGCAGTCAAAAATGGCTGACACCATTACTGAAAGTATCTCTTCTGCTCAAGTGCATGCTCTGCTGTCCTAGGTGACTTGATTTGCAAAACCCAAATTCAAAGATAAAATTAAGAATTTCAAGATGGTGACAGCAGAATATTAAATAAAGTGTGGGGCCCTTCAGAGCAGAGCTCTATGCAACTGTACTGGTCCTGCATCCCTGAATTTGTTCCTGATGACAATACTCAGTGAGAAATTCCATGATAGAGACAACACGGGGTTCCCTGGGAATACATTACTAGAAGGGGGGAAGAGGGGACTTTCTATAGGAGCTGACACTGGAGCTGAAGCTTCAGGAATGAGAAAGGTGTCGCCAAGTCAACAAGGAAGGAAAAGAGCATGATAGCAGGAGAAACAGCAGGTGCAGACAGAGACGTTATAAAGCACTGCATGTTTGGGAAACTACAGCTGTATGATATAGTTGCAATGTAGTTGGGTCTGGAATAGCAAAAGAAGTTGACTCAAGAAGTCTTAAGGGAATGTGAATGACAAATGAAGGAATTTGCTCTGAATGCCATTGGAGCAGTATAAGCAGAAAAGTGACATAAAAAGATTTGTATTCTCAAGGGGTCTCTCAGATAATTATGTGAATAATAGGTTTGAAAGAGGGAAACTAGCAAGAGAAACCAATTTGAAGCCATTGCAGTGCTACAAGAGAGAAGCTAAGACTGTGGATTCTTTAATTTTGACCTTTAAAAAATGTTCATTGAGAAAGACAGACCCATATTAAGTAATAAGAGTTAAAATAGTAAGTGAAAAATTAACTAAATAACAAGCCCATGTATAACAGTAACAATTGCTATAGATTTGGCTTCTTATATCAGCTTCTAAGCCACTCTCTTCAAAGCACTGGACAAATGCTTCAACAAATGTGGATAAGAGAAATGGTTTTTTTTTTTTTTTTTTTTTCCTAGTTTGGTCTATGTTCCATTATTATTCAGTGATTCTTCTGCTGCCATTGCCAAGGGCTTACTGCTAAACAATTCTGTTCATGTTTTAGGCTACGCTGGTTTATATTAAAGCAAAAACTAAGAAAAAGAAACCTTGCCAGCCAGGAACTATTCTTCCAACATTGCCTGGTTGTTGTATAAACTCTACTTATGTAACTTTGCAAGGAATTGGGGAACTGAAGCAAATATCCAAGCTTATTCTGACTTCCTCACTTTTGATTTGTCTGCTTTGATTTCCCCTTTCTATTTACTTTCTCTCTTTAATCCTTCCCATCAAAATATACCATTAAATGTAATTCATCAGAGCAGTGCATTGCTACCTTTTATCATGTAGCAGCCCACATAGAAAATGATGATGTGGATATGGCACACTGGGGTTAATGGATAAGACCACCTGCAACTGTAGCGACTGTTCTGGGGGTTCTGGCTGAGTCAGCCTCCACCCACCTGCTCTGAGGGCTGAGGGCTTGAGTGCACCTGTGATCCATTTCCAGCACAGCAGTCTACATCCGCATACAGACCCACAAACTGTCATGATGAGGTTTTGGCCCTTCCAAGAAGCAATGTTAACTAGTTCAGTGTTTCTTAAACCTTTATATGCTTCTGCAACACCTGGGGATCTCATTGAAAATGAATATTCCGCATCAGGTCTGACATTCAGTATTTCCAACATGACCCCAGACCAATGTCAGTGTGGTTCATGGACCATACTTTGTGTAGCAAGGAACTGGGTGATTCAATAATTTAACTTGTCCTGGAAAAATTACAAAATTCTTCAAAATTAACATAATTTTAAATAATTATAAAACTCACAAATTTCCTGACTTTTAATATTGGTTACCAGAACACCAGAAACAGTATTAAACAGCCTCTTTCAAATTCCAGGAAAAGTCTGCCATTCTTATTTGACTAAATCTATCTTGTTTCAGTTTTACACATCCAATATATTAGAAGCTTCAAATTGTTGTTCTTGGTAACCCTCTAACACCTATTTTGAAGTGATTATAACTGACAGTTCCTCTTATAAGAAGAGGAATGTGCTTGGAGTACAGAGCACTACTAAATTTGGTTTTCTTGTAATCAAAGACAGACCCTTGTAAATAGAGGTGAGAGCTGATGATTTAGCAAGACTTTTGCTCTAGATGGAACATACTCAAGGAAAAGCCATAGTTATGTTAAAAGTTATTATACTCTCCTGGTACTTGAGAAGAGAAGTTATGCTATTAGAATAATTTCTTTGTAGAAGCCCCTGGGTGGCTCAGTCTGTTAGGGGTTAAGCATCCAACTTGCTTTAGGGTCAGGTCATGATCTCAGGGTCATGAGATGGAGCCCCCCACCCCACCACCCCTCCACATTGAGGCTCTGTGCTGGGCCTGCTTGGGATTCATTTTCCCTCTCTCTCTGCCCCTTCTTCCCCTCAAAATGAAAAAAATAAAAGAATCACTTAACCTTAAACTAAATATTTTTTTTCCTCTCATATTGTGACTAAAACTTTGTGCTCTTGAAATTGTTACTGTTTTTTTTTCCAGTTGTCAGTATTGCAGACTAAGAGACAATAGGTGTTATGTCCCACTTCTAAGTAGAAAAAAAAAATTTAAAGGCAAATGTAAAAATGACTTTAACATAAAGCTGAAAGTGGTATTTAAAATAAGCTCAGTGACATTAAACTTCTTGGAAAGAGAAGGTGAATCTTCAAGATTCAAAACATTTTGAAAATAAAAATTTAAGCTTTCTATTTTTATGTATACCAGTTTTTGAATAAGAGAAACCACAGACAAGATGTGAGATTGATAATGAAACATAGCTCTATTCAGATTATGAAAATTTTGGACATGTTTACACAAATATTTATTTCTATAAGATCCAAATACTTTTATTCAAACTGTTTGAAAATCTTATGTTCAGTAAGATTTTAGTCTAATTCTTGTAACATAAGCATCAACGAGACATTTGAATGTAAAGTGATTGGTAGGGAGTGAATTTGGAATTATTTAGAAATCTACTATCTTTAAAGTAGTGTAAATGAAATCATTCTTTTCTGAATGAAAATGACATTGGAAGAAAGGGTGATTGCAGTAATAAGCTTGAAAATCTGGGAAAGTTGTCTAACTTTATAACCCAGGGAAGAAAACAAGATATGTGGAAAGACAAATTCATGATTCTGGAGGCCTAAAAAATCAGTAGGCATTGGAAGGAAATAAATTATGACATGAACTGCAGAATTCTATTAATAATTTATGGAGGTCTCTTTTCCAAGCAGAGTTTAAAAAGGTGGGCAGGGATTCTCTATATGGAGTCAATAGTTGATTAATTTCATATCAATCCTTTCTTTGAAGATTGCATAGAGAAATCATGGAGCAAAATGCTTTGACTATGGATGAGTAGTTTTATGGCCAGTAAATTGTAGTACATGGTGTTTTACATTAGAGAAAAGGGCAATCAGATTTCATGCTTCAGAGTGTAAATTGATTACTCTCTTGGGATCAGAACATAAATCATTTTTCTGGCTATCTTACTGTAATTTCATCCAGCTGGTAAAAAGCACCTTTTTTTTTTCTTCTTATCAGCATCAAAAGGATTAGACTTAGACCATGATAGTTAACAAATGACAAAGCCTGGTGAACTGATATCTTATTTTTTTGAAGAAAATATGAATTTAGCATGGGTTATCACACCTACTTTAATTGTATAGATTTTGGTTAATGAAAGAAACAACAATACCCAGAAGTTATTATTCCCTCTGAAGTGATTACAGTTCAGGTGATAGCACCTAAATGGAGGCTGGATCACGGAACAAGTCTGAACAGCTAGAGTTCCAATAAGGAAAAACAACAGCTGAGCAACACCTATGGCAGGCACAGTGCAAGGCATTTCGTATGTATGATCGCATACGAATGATTATCTGTAATAAAGACTATTTTTCATAAAAATAGCTCATCTGAAACAGCTAGGCAGAGCTTCCAGAAATATTCCTTATTTCAATATTATACACAATTAGAACAAAAATGAAGAATGCTCTCACCTTAGTAGTATTGGGAATTTATTGTCAATGTTTCTCAATCAGCTATTTTCTCCTGACTTGAACATAATTTTCTCTTGAAGTTAAATCTCTTGGACTATGTACACAGAGCTGAAATTGAATTTATAATTTATTATGATTAATTATGTTCAAAATTCTTATTTGTTACCCATTTTCAATCCATATTTCTGCTTAAGACACAAATGCCTTTTAGAAATAGAAGAAACCACCATTTTCTTTCTGGGTACCAACAATTCTTTCCTCACAAAGATGACACTCAGAATATTAATCTACTTACATGAGTAGCAACCAATCAAAAAATAATATTTCTTATTGTTTTCTTCCCTCTATAGTTAGCAGAATGACTATCCTTTCGCTAAGTCTTTATCTGTTTTCTCCAGTGAATCACTTTTAATCCTAGCCCTTTACCTGTTGAACAATGAATAATGAATGCATTATTATGATATATGGGATTTGCAAACTCTAGGCACCAGCTATAGACCCTTCTGAGCTCCAGGAGTCAAAACCTCTGGCAGCTGTAATGGGTTACTGTTAAGCACAGATCAATTTAGCTTTTCATACCTATTTTATATACCTTTCTAGCTGATGTGGTGAACTGAGAATGAGAGTCTTATTTTCTGAAGACAAAACTCTATTGCTTAAATAACCAGAGCACTTCTAGAAACAAATAAGACTCTATGTTCAGTAATAGCTGAATAATCTTCATGAGGTAGAAAGATCACAGGCTTAAACTCTAACCTAAAGTCTAAGCTTGACGGAAGTTTCATCACCTCGGTAATCGTGAGCATGTTATGTGGTCTAATGTAGTTCTATTGCCTCATCGGTAATACGGAGATAACGCTTCAGGGTGTTCTCTTGTGGTTTACATGGCATAACTTATAGACAGTGTTTAACAGAGTCACTGGCTAATACCTAGTAGGTGTCTGATGAATAGTAATATTGTTACTCCTCTTCGCCACCTTTTCTGAATTAACCGCTGATTAACTCTAGTCAGTACGTAATTTATACTGGAATTACTACTATGGATTTGCAGTCCTTTGTCCTTTACTTTGGTCCTAGTTGCAGGGTCAGAGCTATCACTGACATGGCTGTCTTTAGGAAATGGTTGCTTTTATAAATTATAGTCTTCTTTCAAGTGGTTACTAGATTCCCAATTTCTCAGATAAGCTGCCTTCCTCACCACACTGTTAGTGCATCAAGATCTTGTATGTGTTTCCCCTAAGTACCTGGATTCTAATTGACATTGAACTCCCAGGTTAGGAAATGTGACTTTCTCTTCTACACTGTGGATAACTGTTTCTTGTTTAATCAGAGCACATTTTTTGACTTATATTATAATAATTAAAAAATGTTTAATGTTTATTTTTTAATAACATTAAAAAATATGTTATTTTTAACATATAAATAGAGAGAGAGAGAGAGTGCACACGAGCAGGGAAGGGGCAGAGAGAGAGAGAGAGAGAAAGAGAAACAAAGAATTTGAGGCAGGCCCCAGGCTCTGAGCTGACAGCATAGATCCCAGCCCAACATGGGGCTCAAACTCATAGACTGTGAGATCATGACTTGAGCTGAAGTCCGACACTTAACCAACTGAGTCACCCAGATGCCCCTTATATTATAATAATTCTTGTCAGCCACTCAATTTAAAAGTCCCCTGCCATTGTTATATTATGGTATGACACAACCCATTGAAAATATTATTTTCTTAGACCTTAAAAAAGCCATTTAAAGAAAAAAAATTAAACCAGACATAAAAAATCATTTCCAGACACAGGGAAAAACAAAAGGTACTTCTCAAGAAGTTATGGGCCTGCCTTCTTATTGGCTTTTACAGGGTTAGTGGTATTACCACCTGGTAGCTGTGTGAACTTGGGCAAGAAAATTAACCTCATAGTGCCACAAATTTCTCATCTGTCAAATGGGATAATAAAAGTGTCTACAGGGAGCTAGTGAGATATATCTGTTAAAACTGGGGTGATTTTGTTTTGTTTTCCTAACTGATCTCTCTTTGTAAAATCCTTTCCTTTTCTGCTTTGCACAGTGTAGGCATTGCCAATGGTCTTACATGTTTACACAAAATAAATATTAGAGGAGTGAATGAATGTCAAGTGCTATCAGAATTCCATATCTACCAAAAATAATGAAGACAAAAAAAAAAATCAGCCACCCATTTAACTTTCACAGCTCTGTCTTGCAGCTATGAAAGAAGGCATACCATAGAAGAAAGGGTACCAGATTTGGATTTAAAATGGTAGACCTAGAATTTGAAACTAGGCAGTCAAACTCTGAATCCTGTGCTAGAAAGTTTCCAAGCTTATTTAATTTCTGAAAACCTGTTTGCAATAGAAGAAGAATTGAGTGTTATAAGAACTCTCTCCCTTGAATAGAAACTATCATTCAAGTCATCACATTAACCCTTATCACCAGCATTCAACTCAACTGTAGTCAGTTCCCAGTACTCACTTGCTCTCTCCACAAAATGACAAAAAAAAAAAAAAAAAAAAAAAAAAAAAAAGAGGGAAGATGAGCCTGAGATTCTGAAAAGGTAAAAATAAATTCAAATGTTTTAAAGTAGAATAAAGAGTTTTGTGTTTAAGGTGGGAAGTTTGAAAGGAGGTGAGGACCAGTTAAAGATTTGAGAAATACAGTAAAACCTTGGTTTGTGAGCATAATTTGTTCTGGAAATGTGCTTTGTCATTCAAAGCACTTGTATATCAAGCGAATTTCCCCATCATAAATAATGGAAACTCAGATGAGTCATTCCACAACCCCAAAATATTCATATAAAAATGATTAGAATACTGTAATATAAGACAAAATAATAAAGAAAATTAAAAATATAAGAAAAATAAACAGATTAACCTGCACTTACCTTTGAAAACCTTTGTGGTTGGTGTGAGGGAGATGAGGGAGGAGGGTCATTGTGTAGGACAACTTTCATTATCACTATTGGAATTCACTGCTATCTATTGGCTCAAAGGAATCTTTTTCTGAATGGGGGCCATTTTATATGCTCTCATGGATGTTGACTACAATACAGTATTAATAAACTCTTGTCATATACTGTATTTAATGTAACTGGCAGTAAGGCATCAGAAGAAAGGGTCTATATCTGCAGGCAGCCTGACCTGGAATAAAGCAAAGAATTCCTAAGCTTACTTTTGTATGGAAAAGCAAAGGACTGTCCATAGGTGCTTTGAAGTGACAAAAAATACATAAGTGCCTGTTCTGGGCACCTGCAAATCTGAACAATCACTGATGGTTGCCAAACACCATGGCCTGAGACCGAGCATCCAAGCATAGGAGATGATCACCCACAGTCCCTCAGCAAGAGAGAGAGAGAAAACCATTGCCTCAGTTGTGATCATGTGACATTCGGCATCACGTACAATTCATATTGCAAGACATTAGTCAATTATCAAGTTAAAATTTATTAGAAATATTTTCTTGTCTTGTGGAAAACTCACAGAACAAGTTACTCACAATCCAAGGTTTTACTATATATGAATGAGCCATTCTAATAGTAATTTCTCAGGCTTTACCACTCTACATTTACTTTTCTATCTTCGTTAACTTGTGATCTGAGGCAGTGACTATCAAAAATTTTAGCAGTTTAAGTTCCTATTTTCCAATTGAAATATTATATTGCACTGTAAGATAAGCAAAAATATTTTTATACAAACCTATACACTGACATTTGTAATATTTACTTATTAAACAGACAATGATAATGTACATTAATATTTTGGTGGTTTCCAGTGTGTTAAAATTTTGGCATATATCATATTTTAATATGTTTGCTAGTTCAGTTTTTAATTACAATTTTAAAAATAACTATTTAAACATATTTTAAGCACTTGTAACAAGTGCTTGCTGGGCCCCAGAAGCACCTCTGAGGAAGTGTCACAGTTTGCAAACCACTGATGTAGGGAAATGCAGGCATCCAGCCGCTCACCCCCATCCCAATACATAATAAGATGCTGTTCTCCCGTCCCTAAGTGCATTTATGCTGGTCCACGCTCCTGGCAAAGAAGCAGGCATCAGGCTCCATTGATTTTAGACACACAGAGAGTCACTTATCCATATGCTCAGGGTGTTTGACGCTGTGTTCTTGCCCAGTCACATATTAGTCACTTTCCGTTAGTGACTATGAATATAAAGGAGGAATTTTCTGAAATATGGATCTTGTTTCAATAACTAGGGATAGAGAACCCAATAACCATTTTTTCTTAATTTATTATGTATTCAAACAAATAACTTCAGTTGCTGGCCTCTATACATGCGAATGAAATACTCCACCTCTTAAACCAGCTGCCAAAGTCCCAATTGTAAACTGAGGAAAGCAGATAAAAATAGGATAGGAAACTTGCCTCCCTTCCTCTTCTTCCTTTCTTTTATTGAGGTTCACTGTACCCAATTTATAGAATCACAGAGTTTTAGAGTCAGAAGGAAACTCAGAAATCATACAGATTGTTGTCTCACCTCTACAAAAATTACACTAATAGTATTTCTGGTGGCCTATGATTGAACATTCTAGTGCAAGGAGCTTACTACCTCATCAGTCCACCCTTGGAAGGTAGGAATTTATAGAAAATTCTCCCTTATGTTACATATGCCACAATTTGGTCAGTCACTAGTTGAGGACATTCAGGTAGTCTCCAAGCGTTTTCCCACAACAACATTGCAGTTAAATATCTTTGTAAGTATATCAATAATTTCGGATTTATTTCATTAGTAGTGAACATGCCCACAAGTGGAAATGCTAAGTCAAAATATATTCACATTCTTTAGTATAGTAAATAATGCTGGATTACTTTTCAAAAAGCTTTTGGTAATTCATATTCCATCAGCGATGTATGACAAACCCTATTTTCCCTCTGGACTACATCAAGCTTTTAAATTTTTGTCTACACTAGCTGAAAAAAAATGGTATCTCATCGTTGTTTTATTTTGCACGCCATAATCATTGCTGAGGCCAAACATCTTTTCAAATGTTAATTGGTTATCCGTGTTTGGTCTTGTGAGATTTTTGTTGTTACTGTTAAATTGTTTGCCTGTTTCTGTGGATGGTTTATATTCTCAAT